TATTAATATATTAAATTCTATTTATGAAAAAGGTCACTCTATATTGTCTCAATATTCTTGGAAATGCTTTGTATGATGGTGAACATTTTAGTATAGCTATGTTAATGGATGACTATATTTAGGAAACTATTTACCACAGTAAATGTACCTACATTAATATTTACCTATCATTAATGCCTACTTAAGTTATGTCACTACCCGAGGGCTTACCTCAGCTCGTGAAGATAAATAACTACTAATCCCCAGGGACTGATAACCCATCTCTTAGTACTAAAATACTTATTACCTTAACTAGTGCTGCCGTATCAATTAAGAGAAACACTCTGTAATAGTATCATCTACTTGACCGTAGCATTTCATGCTTTCTAACCTGTCTCCTAACAAAAGAAGACTACTTACAGGGAATTCTCCACAACTGATATCAATTTAGGAGAAATTATCTGTAATAATATCATCTACTTGACTGTAGCATCTCATGCTTTCTAACCTGTCTCTTAACAAAAGAAGGACTACTCACAGGGAATTCTCCCCAATTGATACAGTAACAAAATGTTACATTAAATGTAAGCAGGTAAAATAGTCTAGGGTTACCAGTACATTAGACGGCAAGCAAGATGGTAACTGCTGATAGGCTGCACTAAGTCCTAAAACTAATGAAACATTTTCTTAGCTCATTCAGTAAGAGTAAACACATTCCCTATTTCTTATCTCAATCCGAGCAAAAATCAACACACAAATTAATTAAGGATGTTGAAAGTATAAKTTAGAAATTTGGTAACAGATTGGAAGTGCTGAGCAACTGAGCAACTCTAAGGTCAAGTCTGCCATTTTCAGCACTTGTCGCAATGGACACCCTTAGTGGATCATTGCAAAATTTACATCGTTGCTCACTGGTTTCTTTTTGGTAGCCACAGTAGCACACCATGTCAGTGTTTGCCAAAGATGGGACATAGCTAACTTTTTTGCTCTTGTAAAGTGCTGAGTGAGGATCATGTTCTCTCAGGTAACAGGTAGTAATGTACTCATGCCTGAAAACAAGGTCCCATCTATTTGATGGCAAAGAATGTTGTGCAAACTTTGCAATGCTAACATGTTTGGCCTCGTGTCCTTGCATGGTGTTAATGCCGAGCCCCATGCCAAACCTAGTAGCGGTAATGCCAGCATGGTACGGAATGGCATACCCAATAGTCCAGACAGTTGGATTAACTTGGCCTATGAACATGTTTGCAGTGTTGAAAAATGTTGTGCATTTGGCTGTAAGGTCAGTAATGTAGCTCTCATCAATATTCTGCCTGCTGAAGAGGGAAACAGCGTCTCTCAATGCTAGGCCAAGGTGGGCTAGGGAATGAAGTCTGATAAGATAAGATGGGTTCTGACTGTTGCATACGGACAAGGAAGCAATCAGGTACATAAAACCATGGCAAAAAGATTTGCTTTCTTTGCCAGTGAACCTGTACTCAAATTTACGAGTCTTTCTACTCGAAAACCACCTATTTATCTTCGTGTAGAGCAAGTTACAGTTAAGCTTTTCCTTTACAGCAGTCAAGTAGAGCCTAAATGGGTCATTCTCTGGAAGTTCAGAGACAGAATTAATATTATGGGGAATACATGACAAGTCTAGAGCAAGATTTATTGCATTARTATWAAAATATTGCCATGCATTATTCATGTTGTGCAAGGGCTCAGCCAAGGCTTTGTCAATTAGTTTGCCTAAAACTGGCATTGTTTGTTGGCGAGACTTTTCTGACCTTATTAAGTTTAAGACTTTGGCATGTTTTGTTGACTCTGCAAGTGGAGAGGTCTTAAGCTTATCAGTCAACACTTCTACTTTTTTTGCCACCCTGACTCTCTCTTCATAAGACCATGGCCTCCATGTGTTATGAGGACCAGTTCCAATAGTTCCCCCCATTTTCCCTTTATCTAAGTCACAAACATTTGCAAAAGTTGAAAAATAATGTGCAGCATTATTCAGTTCACCCCCAAAAGATGCCACCCATTTCATGTCTCCTGGGACAAGCTCAAATGTAAATGAAACTTTTTGGCCTTCAACTATATATTCCTTTTGCTCAATTTCCTCTACCTGAAGCATTAAATCCTTGGCATAACGTATCATAACCTCATGATCTTCTTTGCAATTTGCCCCACAAATTAAAAAATTATCTGATGGACAGGCCACCCGTTTCCCGACATTCAAGAAACTGATCAGCCATGCTGTGGCTTCGRATTCTTTACCAAAAGGAGCACCATCTGCCCCTATGGCCACCTTAAAGGTGCCAACATCCTGGCCAAACCATGTCAATAAAGAATTATCTGCAGTATAAAATCTGCTATTAACTTTGAAATACATCCTAGCCAATCTCAATAAAAAATTCTCGAGATTTCTGAATTTTCCATTAACCCTGTCATCTTCATTGAGATCTGTACAAAAAACAGACAGATCATGTAGCTCACCAATGTCCAACTTTCTGTTTACTAGCATGCAAGTCTTGTAATTTACTTATCTGTTTCAAAAATAGAAAACACAAGGCAGCATAAAATAAATATTTTGAAAGACAAAATTTTTTTTGAAAAATAGGAAAAAACTTGGCGAAATACCCAGAAAAGATTCATGAACAATATTTATTTTAAACATAAGATAGCTGAACTAGCCTTGTGGGATGGCATTTACAGCTAAAGGGGATGAAAAATATTGTCAGTGAAAAACTTGCAATCTGAAAAAGGTCTTAATATAATTATTTTAAATTATTTCTAGAATTTTAAAAGAGAGATGATATCATTCCACTGCTTTATGGCCCATATGGCATGGGCCATAAAGCCAGGTGGAAACTTTTGGTACACAATAAATGTGTAATTCTACCTTATTTTCAAGGCGACAGGCTTTTATCTCCTTTGCTCTGGAAAGTCTTTTCAGCTTCTCTAGCTTATCTGATAACCTGGCTAGCTCCTTCTGGTGCTCATGAACCGGGAACCTATTATTCTTTTTCTTTCTGCCCATAACTATCAGCTCCTGTCTAAATCTACCCTTGATCAATTAAGTATCTAGGACCACAATATAGATAGAGGAGCAAAATTAAATTAAAGAACAACAAGTGGGAGAGGTAATAGCTTAAGAGACAGATGCTCTACAATTCGAACCCTCACAGTGTTAATAAGAACAAGAATAAGGGTTATAAACAGCAAAGAAACAAGTCCTCGAGAACAATTTGAATACAACCATTAACATGAAAGGGAGAACTACTATGAAAGGCCAGAACAGAAAACTTCAAAGCAGTTCAAGTAAAGCGAGGATGCGAACGGTTGCAAAGACCTTCCAAGTTGGAACAGGAGACCCGTGTATCGCCGTCGTTTGCTACACTCGCTCGGTGAGGACTGCTTGTAAAATTTGAAATAACTCAAAAAATTCAAAGCTGACATGGTTGAGACTAATGCATCGTTTAATAACAACCAATATCAAGAATTTGTTCTTTACATAATTTTATTAACCCTTAAAATTAATTACAAACCGGTACTTATTCGTTTCCGTTTGCTCTGGCAAGTTCTTGTCCATTCACCAAAGCTATATTCGCACGCGAAACCCTTTCAATCGTCTTCAAGTCTTCAAGATGGCTACCTCTAGTTCCTCGGTTTGGCCAAGTCGTAGATCGATATCTATTCGGTACTCAGCCGAAGAATTGTTGACTTTCGATAAGACACGGACGGATAATAGATGATCTCCGTGGAGTGCTCGTTATCCCATCGCCCGATAGAAATTCAGTCTAATTCTCGCGCGATGTCTGGTCTGTTGAAGCTAATAACTTTAGAACGCAGACGACAGAGCTAGCCAGATTTCGTTAAAATGTACTTCAATAAGTAAAAAAGAAATTGTTCTTTCCAGATTTTTGAATTAATATTAAATTTCTTAGATAGAAAGAGTCGAGTTAGGTAATATAGCATCGCGAGCTTACAAGATCGCCACGAACATTTGTCGAGCCCTGAACAAGTGCATTAGAAAAACAAGCCATATGAGGAAGAACTTTATTGGATTTTGACAATTTTTTTGGGTTTTATTAAAGGAAATAGCTGATGGTTTCAAACTTGATTAAATTTTTTAACATCGGATGCAGTCTGAAATAAAAAAATTAGCTATTTCGACGAGCGTTCGCTGTAGCGTTGCGACGTGTTATGGAAATTTTCTCTCTGCCGCCATGGTAACAAAACAATGGTAATTGATGGAAAACTTGCTACCATTTAAAACCGGTGATTTTGTGCGCCCGCGAGCCCTGATTTTTTAGATTAAATTTTTTTTTCTGATGCTTTTTCTTGGCTTCTTTTTTCTGCGATAAAAAATGCTTTTATTTATGCAATTGTATTGGCTCTTCAAAACAGTGCGATTTTAAAATACTCGAACTGGTACAATCATGATTAAATCGCACTGCCAAGAGCGGGCCAATCAGATTGCAGGAATCACCAGTAATTTCCAACATGGATACAATTAATAGACCAATAAACATATCACGCGATACATACGCGATACATTCAAACCAGGTTAAAAATCATTTTTATGCAAGGATAGCAGCAGACTTGGAATGCCGAAATTATTAGCTTTTATTGCAATGACGTCCGCGTCTTAGCAATATTTTAAATGAGCGTGCATCGAAGTGAAGCTATCCGTTCGAGCTCGTGGTAATTTCCAGTTATAGAAACTATGCATATACATTCCAGTATAAAACCATCCGTTTTATCAACTGTATTTCATCTGAGTATTGCTAGGGTACAGGACACTTCTTCATTAACCCATTCGGGTCGTAGCCTTGCACTCTACCACTATGAATACCTCGAAGTATGTAATGAGACAAGTGTGAAAATATAAACCATAAAATCTTTGAATAAACAGAAGCTATAGATATATGGTTTTGTTTAAAAAGTTTGATTAAAAGCTAAAGGCTATTTGGTCAGTAGATGATCAAGAACGTAACCAATCGTTTAACCTCTATCTCTCTCTATTTTTGTCTGTAGCTTTACCTCGTATCAAGTATATTACCTCAAACGTTTATGGCAAAAAAGGAGATTCAATGACACTAAGATGTAATGCCTCTGGACACCCAGCACCTCGTGTTRCATGGATACACAAGGATACCAAGAGAACAATTGCAAATTCCAGTGTGACGTCATTCAACATTACTGGTAAAGAATCAGGTGGAAAGTATTGCTGTCACGTGTCAAACGGTTTTGGAAATGAGACAAATTGCACGTCCCTTGAAATGACAGGTATGTGGCTTTCATAGTAGGATACCAAACGCTTATCACAATAAAAATTGTTCAGGGGGTGATTTCTTGAGACATCTTCATCAATATTTTGAACAAGCAAACAAAACAATCAATAATGAGCAATACTTATTAACTTTTTAATTAAGTGCCAATCTTATAGCAGGCATAATAAAAGGTAATTATTAGTATAGGTAATAAGACTATATGCTGTCGAATTTGTAAATAATTGAATGAAAAAAATTCCGAGCACTGACAAAATTGGAAGAGGCCGAATTTCCTCCATCAATTTTTTCGTTATTTTTTATTTCAAAATTGCTAATTCATTATTTCCATAATTAATATGGAAAATATTTACAAAGTTTTTTTTTTAATATGCAAACTCTGTTATCTAAAATTATGATTAATTAGATTAAAATCTAAATAATATAATTATAAATATCAGAGTTTGAATATTTTACATCCAGTTCTAACTATTTTCTTTCCTTTTCCCAAAATATGTGAGTATTTTGGAAGTATAATAAGCAATTATTGGACGAAGTAAATTAACAAAAATAAAATTATGTCACGTGAATTATCACGATTGAGGCTGTGTCATATGCCGAATGCTTTTGACTGGAAGGGATAAAACCGCTGTCTAAATAATTGATGCTACAACCAGGTGAACCCTGATCTAATAATTATTATCATATGTCTCATTATTTGATTGATAATTTACTTTAATATTATTTGAGATTAAACCAAACTGTATTTAAAAGTCTGTTCTTGGGTTACAACCACATGACTCATTGAGATATAAATAACGACGAAACAGCCGGAATGTTGGTAGTTCTAACAAGAGAAGATGATGAATACTTCGTAATACGGCTCAATAATTAATATGGTAAATGAATTATCTGCAGAAAAAACACTAGATATTTCATTTATCGTGAGCAAGTATATGAGCAATATATATAATTGATATAAAAGATTGTTTAAAAGAGTGTCGCAAGCGATCCGAATCGATCTCCAAATGCCGACATGAAAACAAGTTCTATCTGATGAACAATAGAAATCCAGGCCTAGCTAATTAACTCCTTTCCGAACAATACTTCTTTTGTAAATAATYATTACACYTCTTGTATATAAATATCACARTAATAGGAATATGTTTCATTAAAGTCTGTCTGATGAGTGCGTAAGCACGAAACTCGGAGTTACAGTGAACATATCTCGTCTATAATCCAATCTTTACTATATATCTATTGCTCTGCATCCCTACGCATCGAGCACTGTTTCACCAGTATAGACCACATTACATACTTTGTTATAGTATATATATATATATATATATTTAATATATGGCATTATGTGTCTGCTATGTTGACAACAAAACTCCAGTTACAAGTTGACTTGCTTTTCACTTCTTGAAATATTTGGTATATCTTAATTTGACCAGCATGACATTATTAACATTCTTTCAATCTTGCAGATAAACCAGTAATTGATAACCGCTTGTCATCTGGGAATAACGTATCTTCTATCTTGGGTGACACAACTCATTTACGCTGTGCTGCAAGGGGTGTCCCTCGGCCTAACATCAAGTGGTATACAGCTGATGGTAAAATATTTTCAACTGGTAAAGCGTCGTATCCAGGTGGAAGCGAGCTCATACTGACAATCACGCGTAAGCAAGATTATGGGATGTATAGATGTCGCGCTGAGAATACTATTGGAGTTGCTTGGCACAATATTACGGTGATACAAATATGTAAATATTATGAAGCATTCTTGAACTTGAACGTTTTTAAATAATTAGTGCCATTTTTATCAAAGATTTATAAAATTATAAGTACAAAGTTCCTTTTTTTAGGGCTCATGTTAATTGTAACAGCCCAGGGCTGATCTACTTTTAAATTGGAAAATTATTAAATTACTTGACAATAGGAAATTATGTTGATGATTATGTTGTTATCATCGTCACCATCATCATCTACAGCAAGATCATCAACAGCATTATCATCACCAATCATCAGCATCTTTAGCATCACCATTACCATCATCATCACTATCACTATAATCACCAATACTATCGCAAACATCACCATCATCGTCATTATCAACATAACGCCATTGTCATCACCATCATCAACGCCATTGTCATCACCATCATCAACAATTATCATCACCATCGCCACTATCTACATCACTACAACCATCACCATTATCATTGTATCCCCAATCATTGTCGCAATTATCATCACCACCATCATCGCATCACCATCGACAATTGATTGTTCAAATTATTRATTGATTGTTCAATTATTTGAACATTGCAATAGTAGTTTCATAATTCAAATCTTCTTTGTTAATAACAGGTCAATGCAGTGGAAATTATCAGAAATACAAGAGATCCTTGGGCAGAAGCAGTAGCATCATAAAGGGTATTTAGTAGACTTTTATATTTTATTTAAAGTTAATTTGGTTTTCTAAAGCGAACGGAGGAAAAACAAAGCAAATGGGTGTGGAGAAAGAAAACATTTCTTTGGAAACAAAAAACAAAAAAAAAACGAAAAACAAAAAGAAAATCATCTCAAGAGAGAAAACAAACAAGCGCTCTAAGTTTTCAGTATTGATTATTTAACTTACTGATAATTACCCCCATTAATACTTTTTTTTCTCCTTTTTTTTAGAACCGGTTAAATTAATTATCTGGCTGACCGTAACACTTGTTTCAGGAATTGTAAACATTATTCTCATTATCTTTTTTAAACCTAGAAAACCAAAAGTGCAAAGGTAGGTTAAAGCCGAACTGAGGTGTCGGAGTTGTTTAAAATTTGAGGGCGAGGGTGGTGGAGGAGGAGTGGGGGGGGGGGGGGGGGTGGATCCATTAACGCATTCTCTTTCTCTCTGGTGTACAGTAAAACGGCCCATACATCTTTCATAGGTCATCCCTTCGATTAGCATTTTGTTATGTTTAGGTTGTCCCGACTTAAGATTTGTTAACATGATTTAAATTCATTATTTCCATGTAAAAGAAATCCCAAATCCCTAGAACCAAAAGATCAAAAATAGACACATCGAAAAAGTTTAAGAAAAATAATTATTTATATTTAATCATTCAATTCGTTAACCATTCCAGCAAACTGTGACGCCATCCTCGAAAAAAAGAGCATCTGAATATGAAACAATATGGATCTGCTGTTTGCTCATACCTCTTCGCACGACAGTACAAGGTCAAATATGTCATACGGCAAATCGTGGGTGGTTAAAGAAAATTTGGGTTTGAAGCGGCAGTCATTAGTAAGAATTAAGCATTATCAAGAACATAGTTGTGCCCAATTACGTTGACCCCCACTTTTGAGCTTTTGAAACCAGAAAATTTCGAAACAACTTTTATATATTTTTTACAAACACTGCACCAGGCAAGAAAAACTAACAACATCTCTAATAGTTAAACTAATTTCGCATAGCGAATTACAAAAAAATTCAGAAGAATCCAGAACTCATATGGCTAACCTTAAATAAAACAATTACGAATTTTAAAAACACACACACACAAAATGTAATAGCTAAATATTGTGTGTGTGTGTGTGTTTGTGTGTGTGTGTTTGTGTGTGTGTGTTTGTGTTTTAAATAAAACCCCATAAAACTATATATCGTTTTAAAGGCCATATAATAAAGATTCAGAAAACAGTATTATTTCAAAGAGAATCTTAAATTTGAAACAATGCCGGAGCCTTAAACACAAATCGGGTACGTTCAGTAGAGGTGAATTAATGGACATCGATATGGCGCGTATAGCCAAAAGCATTTCACTATGTGAATAAGCAAAAGATAAACTACGAAAGGGTGTGAGCGATTTTTCATATATTGTTTCTTTAAAAAGTTATTGAATTTTAAAGTTGGAACGTCAAAAAATTTTAATGCCGGTTAATGTTTTACCGCATAAAAGACAAAACACTCAAAATATCAAAAATCGCTAATACCCTTTTCTAAATTATCTTTTGCTTATTAATATAGTGAGTTTCTTTTGGCTATACGCGCTAACGCTAATTCCATTAATTCACCTCTATACGGGACGTGCCCGATTTGTGTTTAAAGCTTGGCATTGTATCGAATTAGAAAATCACTTTGAAATAATATTATTTTCGAAATCTTTATACTATGATGCTAAAAGAAATGATTTGGTTAAAACGTATCCAAAACAGACTGCTTTAGCGTAGATGGCTGGTTGTAGGAAGTGACAAGCATGGACGACTGCTTAGACGAACAATTAATTTCTTTGTAAAATTTAACAACATTCAACAAATAAATGGAAGTGTTTTAGCAGCACTACCAGTATTCTGCTAATTACCCAGAAGCACGACGAGCAGGGCAATCACACCTTTAGATCCGACGACAACRAAAACGAGAACGAGTACAAGTATGAGGTTTTAAACTCTTACCGGCGTTTGCATTGCTACGCGGCCACCCCAGACAAAAATCGCGACGTGCACTTTGCAGTAGACTGCCGTCAATCAAACAAGTTGACGTCATTTACACGCGTTTGAATCGGCCCGGTGAGTGTGGGGTTTTGTCTGTGGTGGCCGCATAGCAATGCAAACGCCGGTAAAGAGAGGCACTATCTTTTTGCAGTCTTGATCTTGTACGTATTGAAACTTTAGATTGAAAAAAAATCGGGAATCGACTGCGAATTAGTGTTAAGAACGTGCACAGGTCCAGTTTTGAAAAACTCGTACTCGATCTCGTACACTTCGTCGTATCTAAACGTCGCTAATATTCATGGGCTTCTCCGGTAGTCAAACGGGAATGAAGTAGCCGAGTTTGTCTTCAAACTGAATTTTTGTCCCCCCGCCTCTCCACCTTTTTGTGTCTTCTTCTCATGATCAGCAAAACACCTGTAGCTCCAGCAATTACTACCAAGACTACATCGATTATGGGAAGGATAATTTTAATTTTAGAATCCATCTTAGGCTCCTTGCGTTGGTCTATGACATCGCTCATTTGCATACTATATCACGGAACCCCTGTCACATTAGATTCAAGGTAAGACATTGTTTGAGATACCACAACATTTTCTAATACCCTAGAGAAGAAAGGAATATTAGAAACAGGTCGATAATGTTTGAAGACTTTGGGATCGGGATTGGGTTTTTTAAGAAGTGGTCTAACAAGAGAAAACTTAAGATCAGATGGAAACTCTACCGATGAGAGAGAAAGGACAAAGGGTATCCAGTAACTGCTTAAGTACATGAGCAGGTAAAGGGTCGAGTGAGCAGGATTTAGAAGGAAGTGAGAGAATGAGATCATGTATAGAGGAGCAGGACACAGCTTCAAAAGTACTGAATTGGCAATGAAMTGTAGACAAGGCACCAAAAATGTTAGCATTAGGATAAGGAACTAGGTCTTACTACTACATTCTTTTGGATAAAATAGTCATTGAATTTCTCAACTCAAAGTTGAGTACTACCGTCCATCGAAATATTACTGTTTTTAAATGTAAAGAAATTGTCTACAATCTTGAAAAGTTGGTTTCGTGAACTATTTTCAATGACAGTTATATATAGTATATAGTTATATATAGTATGTAGTTGAAGAAGGTTGTACTCTTTACATGCACGATCATACATATTTTGGTGAACTGTTAGATTAGTCTTTCTATAGGGCCGCTTAGCTCGTCTTTTTAGACGTTTTGCTTCTCTTAGATCACTATTGTACCATCTAGCGTGTGGACGGTGAGTGACAAACCGTGTTTGAGCAGGGGCAACTTTATCAAATGTTTCCTTTGTGACTTTGTTAAAATAATTTAGTAGATCGTTAACAGAATCATTGTTGTCCTCAGATCGTTTTAAGGAGTTAGACAGTTCATTAGTAAGCGTAGCGTAGCGTAAATCTTTAGTGTTTCTGTATTAAGTATTTTTGATCGAGGCGGCTTTGGGAAATGTAAATTGCAGGTTACAAATCCCGTGATCAGAATATATGTCATGAAGGACTTTGATGTTAAAAAAGATGTTCTCATCAGCTCTTGTAATTATTAAATCAAGGGTGTGACCACAGCGATTGGTAGGACTTTCGACACGTTGATATAAATCGGCAGAATCAAGCAGATCGGAGAATTTTAGCGAACCATTGTTTAAGGTGTTGTCGACATTAATATTAAAGTCTCCGCAAACAATCAAAGGTCTGGAGTCTGAAGTGAACATTTCGACGAGGTTGTAAAAATCAACAAAGAATTGTGCAGGCGTAGATTTGTTTTTTCTTGATGGCGGTGGTCTTTAGATTGACACAAGACGAAGACTAACAGATCTGAAGGATAATATCATGTCCATGCACTCGAATGAACTAAATTTGACTTCGGTATCCAAATTGAAAACAAAAGACTTTTTTTATGAATATAGCAATTTCAAAACCTTTTCTGTCCTCTCTTGGGACATGTTGTACTGTATACTCGTTAAGTTGATTAAGATTCTCAGACAGTGAAGCGTTTTGTTTACAATTCACAGAGAGCCAAGTTTTAGTAACAATCAGGATATCCAAATTGTTAGATTGAATAATATCTATGATAATGGTGACTTTTTACAGATTGATTGAGCGTTCGTATTGCCATACGAACATTTTGTTGAATCGAAGACAGTTGCGGCTTTATTGGACGTAATAAACTTAGATTCGCCTTGGAATGTTCTTTGTGCAAATCTTGTGTAATTACAGTCGAGTCTATTCTTGGTTTGCAATCAATCCCAAGAGAGCACAATAAAAAAAGAGATGTCCGCCATGTTGGAAGATATAACAAAAGAATTCATTGAAAAATCTTTTGTCAAATTCTTCCAACATGGCGGCTATGACGTCTATTGCAAACGAAGAATTGATAATAGATGGAATCGGTTTTACTTTATTTGGACGATTTTTAACTGCTCTACCTGGCCTGTTTCCACGATATTTAAGGATAGAATGTGCTTTTATATAATGTGGCGAGATAGTCCAGGTTAATTTTATAACCGTAACTTCGTAAAGCAAGAAGCTCATCTCTAGTGTATTGATGTTGATGTTTAACCACAGCAATAACTTGATTGTTGATTGCCGAACTGCTAAAGTTCCAGACACATTTAGAATTTTCAAGTTGAGTGGAAGATAGAGAAGGTCCCGGAGTAGGTTCAATGTCCATAGAAATAGTGAGATCGTTTCCAGGTAGAAGTAGACCGGCAAGGGAAACCATGTTTGTGCCATGTTGTAATGGGACGATTTGAAGAAAACCTCTTTGTAAAACAGGTCATATGGTTAAAATTTAGCGAAAAACCTTTCCAGTGCAAGGATGGAGCACTAATTGAACTACGACCAGCATTTCAGTTAACATTGAACAAATCAGACAACACTAAAATAAATTTGTGCAGACCCTAAAAAGAGGCTGTTATCTTGGTGCGCATTTACATACATGCATTTCATACCGTTACTATCATTGTAGAAGATAGCTGTGGTGTTCCTATGCAATGTGATTACGGTGGTACAATTTCCATTGTCACCAATTTTCTTCAATATTATGTACATGAGAGGTGCTCTCGATTGACATCGAATTGTTGACATCGAAATATTGCCACCAACAATCACCCACTGATTCTCGGTACAGACTAGTTCACCTATAAGGGAAAGAGAGAAAAAATGTCAAAATGTTTATTTCTGAGTTTTGCATGGGCTAGAAAAGGTTGTAATCATTAAGAATCAATATTTCATAAAATCATATAAATAGGTTGACATTTGACACAACATGCGTGATGGAAGGCTTGGATCCATCGCGATAGCGTGTTATTTTTCGTAAAGTTTTGGCAATTCTCAAAACTGAGCCTGGTTTGTTTTTCGCTTCCATTTTTTTTTTTTTTGCGTACGGCAGACATAAAAAAACACCTTCCAGAAGTCCATACTTCTGCCACGCACGTCTCCTGTTTTGATTCATTCTAACTTTGCATTTTCAAAGCCTTAACGCCAAAGGCAAATATCATTTTCTTTATCTACTACGTGGACTTTTTTCGTTTTTCACTTATTATAAATAACTTATAACATATAACGATTTATGCTGAGTGTCTGACATGAATTGATTACTGACATGCAATAATGCAGAAGAATGAAATACTCGCCTTTAAAGTATTCTTAATCAAGAAGGTTCTCTGTTTTTGTGACGAGCGCGTCATAGGTCCTCTAATCGACTGTTCGTGCTAAGCGATAGCATTGTTCCACCGAAACGGATGGGCACAGCACTGATCTKCTATGCAAAGCAATGTCATCATATATTGTACGTCATGATTTGCATGCTTGTACATACATTATATCAGTTGTCTGTACCTCTTTTCGTTCACTCAAATATGTCGATTTTAA